TCTATCTATCTATCTATCTATCTATCTATCTATCTATCTATCTATCTATCTCAAATTTCTACACCACCCAGCCCAACTCACCTAAGTGATTCTGGATGATTTACAAACAAGATAATAAAATAATATAAAAACATGACTAAAAGCACCGTTAAAAACAAAATTAAAAATAAGGTTAAAATTTACAAGTTAAAAGTAAGAATCTAAATTTAAAATTCACAAGGTTAAAAGATTAGTAAGGTAGAGGGAGTGCCAGGGGTGGGATGCTACTGGTTCAGCCCGGTTCTATAGAACCGGCAGCTCTGAAGAGCAACTGACACTGAACCAGTTTGCTGCAATGACCTTCTGGTTGCCCACCCACCTGCCTGGGCTCTTGGCTGTCCTTTATTTCCTGCCTTTTCAACTTCAACTGCTTTGCGCGGCACAGCTGAGGTTGAAAAAGCAGGAAAGAAGAGGATTTTCAAATGCTGCGCACCTGTGCGCAGCACTTGTCAGTTGTCCAGCTGGCACAACTTATGATTTTTTGCAAATGCTGCCCATGCACGTGCAAAACGCACTCTCACTGAACCGGTTGTAACACTGGTTGAATCCCACCCCTGGGAAGTGCCCCAAGCTACCAGCCATCCCTCTGATTATGACCATATTAACACAATAAGAAGCAGAAATATTCTTCCTCCAGTGTGACCAAAGATTGCACTAGCAATTGCTGATTCCTAACCAACTTGTTATGCTTTAAGAATGTAGAATATTTTCAGATTTTTTTTCTCAAGGCAACCCTTTCCTATATTTATTATAAACCTTATATTGTTATTTGGTTTGGTTTGGTTTTATATTCTAACTTGTCAAGACTTTTTGAATTTTCCTTGTGATTGATTACTTCTTCAGGTTTTGCATCATATGCAAGTATTGTTTTGTAATTTATACCTTCATCCAATCCAGTTATTTTTACAAATATGTAAAACTATATCCATAGCTATGCATAAGAAACTTCTTGGATAACTCTGATACTATGAAAAAAAGAAAGAAATATTATTTTTCCTTTTATAGTCACCTGATGATGAGGAACGCTACTTATCTATCAAAGCAGATGTGAATTGTTTCTCATGGTATATTTATCAAGATGAAAACAGGTAAAAAATATCTATACATTTGCACTTCTTTCTATTTATATATCTTCAACTATGGGTGCTTTTTTGAATCTAGAGTTTTGCAACTGTGTTTCTTACCCATTGGCAATTACGCTGACTTCAACAAACTGCTTAAGAATCAATCATTTCAAGATAACATACTTAATACTTTTTCTTTGAGGCCTAAATCATATTTAATTATAAATGCCATCTAGTAGTATTTATGAATGGGAATATAAATGTGATATTTAGGGCTAACTGAAAACACTGAAAGAAAATTTTCCATGGCATTAGGCTAGAAACCAGGAGTTGAGTTTCCGCCTTAGGCACAAAGCCAGCTGGATGATTGGGCCAGTCACTTTCTCCCAACCCCAAAAAGGAGACAACTACTTCTGAAAAATCTTGCCAAGAAAACCAGAGGGACCTCTCCAGGCAGTCTCCAAGAATCAAGAACCAAGAATTGAATTTAAAAAAATAGAGTGGGATGAGCGAGGATATAAATTTGATGTTTAGAACTAATAGAAACCATTGAAAGAAATCTTAACCATTCCCATAATGGTCCAATATAAAAACTTGTTGTGACTGGAAGGATCGATCCTGCTGTGAGTTTTGACTCTGATGATTCTAGTGATGAAAGGCTGGAGCCTGCTGTGAATGTGGAGTCTGAATTATCAGAGGCTTCGAGTGGGGAAGCTGACAGATCGTGGTTTGACGCCAGAACTAGGAGGAGACTGAAACCTCAAGCTGAGGGGAGGCGTCAAGTCAGACAGTGATTAGGGAGATTGATACACCAATCCAGGTAATTTAAGGAGGCGTGATGAGTCTCAAACTTTGCTTGGAAGCAAAGTGTTTGATGTGTCGAAAGGATACGTGGGGAGCGGCCTTTGTAATTTTATGGACATTCTGAATTACCAGACAGATTCCGGGAAGTCTGCCAAGGACTGGAATATAGCATTATTAACCCTTTTGTGGTCTGCTTCTGTTTTGTTTGAATGTTTGGAATTGTGGAACTTTGTATTCTCACTTGTGAATATAGGTGAGACATAACAAAAACTATTGTTATTTTAAATTATATTTTAGTTGAATATTATTTCAGTCACTAGAATTGAATTAGTGCTGCTAACTACCATTGAATATGTATTTTACATATATTTTAATGTATTTGTAAAAAGTGTGATGAAGGAAAGATTTTGCCTTCTTTCATGCTCCTTTCTTTTCTAGTTAGATCTCTAGTTTTCAGTTTTAGCCTTTGGACATCATTCAACACAGTACCTGGCATTGTTTAACCAGGTGGTTTGACCTTGGATGTCTCCCCAGAACTTTTCTGTGAGAAGCAGAAACTTCTCTAACTCTCCCTCCATGAGAGGCCATTTTTCGATAGAGAGTTGACAAGAGGATCAAAATGAGAATTTCTTTTGTTTTTCTTTACAGAAAGCTAAATGGGTTGCAGGCTTGCCCCTCTTTTGGGTCATTGGGATATACTAATTAGCTTTCCTCTTTCTTGCTCATCCCCTCTTGCAATGAATACTACTAACAGCCTGTTAGTGTATAGGCATATATGCAGAGACACCAATAGAGGGCTTCTCCATATCTTCTTATTGCCACTTAGCTACTCATAATTCTGGCTGGCTTAGTTTACTGTTGCAAGGTCTCAACAGATAGGCTCCCTTGTTTGGAGTTTCCTGCCAAACAGGATCGCTATTTGGTCTCTCTCTGCTGGCTATAGTTTCTCTGCTGTTGGTAGGATAATTGGTTCCTATGTTGGTAATTCCATTTATCATTGGTTAAACAAGCCAGTCACTGTCTCTTGATATCTTGTCCCCATGTTACTTGGCATGGCTGTTGCCTCAACCATTCTGACATGGTTGAAGCTATTGCTCAATACTCAGTCACCATTCCTCTTCATGGAGCCTTCAGTTGCTTCACCTCCTGGAACCCACCAATTTTCTACTGTGTGTTTAGTTTCTTTCCACAGTCTTGATGCTTTGGGAGTCCCCTTCAATGAATTCTGCAATCATCTGTTTGGTTTTTTCTATAATAAATTTTCAGCTACCAACTTCAAAGCTTTAACTGCTTCATGGACCCCCTTTCCAAATCAGCTTGCATGCACTTATTATTGTGATACTACGAAAACAATTTTAATAGTAGCAAATTCAACAAATATTTAATTTAAATGCATTTTCAAAATATGGACTTCAAACTCTTCTTAGATATTTGCATTAAATATTTATTAAATAAAATTCATATATGGACACATACATAACACACACAAACACACACACACAGACGCACAATTAGAATCTTCGTACCACTTAGGAAATACTTTAATAATGTATAATTTCTTAAATATTTAATCATGTTTGCTTTTAGAAAGAAATTCAATGATATCTTGTTTGTATGTTTTACATTATTTATAAAATTCTGTTGGACAGTAAAAAGTATGTGTAGATTAAAAACAACATACGCTTTTATATACACTTCAATATATGGATTTCTTTTGCCTCCCTTACTATGAACACAGCACATGCAGGCCAAGTCAGTTGGCTAAACTTAGAAAAAGAGCAAAGAATAGGAAAAAAAACTGCAGGAAAAGAGAAAAAAGGAAAAGAAAGAATATAATAAGGAAAAAGAAAAGAAATACATAAAGAAATCACTTCCAACCTTCATTGCAACAAATACAAATATATTTAATAACTCTCCACCCCATAAGATTAAACAGATATCTGTTCATCCCATTTCTGTAAGCAAATCTATAAAACATCACATTTTCAATCCTGGTATCAGCAAAAAGTCCAAAAAGGGTTGCCAGAACATTGAAAAAAAAGTTTTATTTTAACATTGATGAAATAAAATCAGCTTTATTCTTTTTATTTCTAATAGAATTAATCTTTTGTTCATTCAAAAAAATTGTCAGCAAGGTTTTGAAACTAAAACTGGATCCAGGCGAGACTATGGTTTCTTATACTATGACTTCACTCTTCACCTGCATTCCAACAACTGAAGCTGTCACAGTAGTGAAAAAAATAACTGTTCAACTGTTTCCCATTATGGCTGATCTCTACATAGAGAGGTAGGAACCAAAGTCCTAAACAACTTCATAGGAATTCCACCCACTCGCTGGAATAGGTATGTGGACAATACTTGCATCAAGATTAAAACACAGGAAGTAGAAGCCTTCATCCAACACATCAACTCTGTGTACAGATACATTAAGTTCAATCAGGAAGATGTTAAGGAAAATCATATGGCCTTCATGGACCGTGCAGTACATGTTAAGAAAGACAGAAGCCTTAACATTGAAGTTTACAGAAAACTTCCACACACAGATCAGTATTTACATTTTGATTCTCACCAACCACTGGAACATAAAATGGGAGTGATCAGAACCCTACAACACCAGGCTGAAGGTTTGCCTACCAGCAAAGATGGAAAAGAAAAAGAATTAAAACAGATCAAGGAATCCTTCAAAATTTTTGGCTATTCCAACTTGGCCTTTATCAATCCAAAAAAAAGACCCATCACGAGCTCCTCCATAACAGACAAGAAGAGAAAAACAAATGAAGCAACTTTGTCATTCCATATACTGCAGGAATATTTGAAAAGCTCTGGAGGTTTTTCAACCAACACAACATATACATTAAGCCCCAAAATACACTAAGGCAGAAACTTGTCCAACCCAAGGATAAAACACCCGGACACAAATTGAGCAATATGATATATGCAGTACAACAGAGTGAGATATGTGCAGATTTGTATATTGGAGAAACAAAACAATCCCTTCACAAACAGGAGAACAAACCCATCAGGACAAGATACAGCAGTCTACCAGCATTTTAAAGACACGGGTCACTCTTTTGAAGATAGAAAAGTGCACATTCTGGACAGAGAAGACTGCTGGTTTGAAAGAGGGGTCAAAGAGGCAATCTACTTAAAATCGAACCACCTCCTCCCAACAGAGGGGGAGGGATATAATGTCACTTATCTCCTGTTTACAACACAGTCCTTTCAACAGTTCCAAGAAGGTTCTACATGCATTTGCACTCTGAGGGTACAGATAAGCCTCCAAGTGGCCTCAATGACTCTCAAAGAGAGTGCTAATGTCCAGTTGATTGCAAGGTGTTCTGTACGGTCATTACCATTCTTGTAGAACCGCGCAGCGATTGGCCAAGACGCGTGGCGAACTGATTGGCCGAGTGAGCCGCCCGGATTGGCCCGCCGCGAATCTCCCGCGATTGGTGGAAACTAATCGCGGGAGATTCAAAGCGGTGCCATTGGCCGCGGCCACCGCGACCAAAGAATAAAAGCCGCCGTTTTCTTTCGGGAGCCGAGCCGATCTCGGGAACCAATAAATGAGCTGAACCAAGTCACTGGCTCCGAGTCTCATTCCTTGCGACGGACACGACACTGGCGACGAGGGTGGGATCCCAAAACTGATCCCCACCGTACACGTGTCCTGAGGGAACAAGACCAACGAGATGGCCAGCATCGCACCGCCCGCACCCTTTAACCCGGCTACTGAGGATTGGCAATCGTACACCGATTGATTCCTGATGTTCCTCGAAAGTAGCAATCTAAAGGATGCAACCGGGCAGAAGAAAAGAGCGGTTTTCCTCACGCACTGCGGGCCCGCAGTGTTTAAAATGGCAAAAGCCCTCGCGAAACCAGAGGACGTGAAAACAATGGACTGGGCCGATCTCGAGCCATTGCTCCGGAACCACTATGCCCCCGATGTGCCCACCCTTATCCGGCGGCACGACTTCTACCGACGAGACCAGCAAGCGGGCGAGAGCATCGGCGATTTTGTGGCCGACCTGCGGAATCTCGGAGGCATGTGTGGCTTCACGGACATGGACGAGGCACTCCGAGACCGCGTCGTCCTGGGACTCAGAGATTCAGTCCTCCAGAGCCGGTTGATGGCAAAGGGCGACATCGCCCTCGCCGACGTCCTCGCCGACGCCACCGCAACCGAGGCAACCCGGAAGTCTGCGTCCCGGATGCGGAGG